CCCGACCCCCCCCCCCCCGGAAACGATGGCCACGTTATTAAGTCGGCTGGACGGAGACGAAGATGACAGAGGGGGCCCCGGAGCATCATTGGGTGGCGTGTCTTCCAGCGTGTGCACGGCGTCCACGGGTACCATGTCCTGGTACACACAAGATAGAGTGAGTTAACGAAATGTACACACAAGATGGAGTGAGTTATGTTCGCCATGAGTGTTATCGGTGGTGCCATTATCAAGTAACCCAATAGAATACTAGCCTGAAGAAATCAAGTGCTGTTGTTCCCGCATCTCTTCGACGAGACGAGACCAGGTTGGCGTGGTGTTGTTGTGCTTGGCTAGCCTTGAAAGCCTTGACCCGAGAATCGTTGCTTGCGGAAACAAAATATTTCCAATAAGCCAAGGTGAAGCTTTCTCATCCATGCGAATTTTCCTACTCGACGTCGCGATCCGCCTGCGTGATGCCCCCGTCGCCTGTTTTTCGTGTGCGAAACTGACCCCCGCTCCCGTCGCTCCCTCTTGTCCTTCAGGGCTACTACCGCGAGGGTCAAGTCTTGAATGAGGGGGAACAGCGGCAGCAGCAGCAGCAGCAGCAGCAGCAGCAGCAGCAGCAGCAGGAGGAGGAGGAGAAGGTACCTGGGGAGGGTGGGCTTGGGCGTAGCGAGGGCGAGTACGACGACAACGACGTCGAGATGGCCAGGCGTCTCTTGTGCGCGGCGCTAGGGTCTTAATTGACTACATGTCGGATGGGTTTCTCCGGGAAGAAGTATGTACGGTTTTTGTTTGACGGAACGAGACGGGGAGGGGAGATGCGAGATGCGGGGCGAGAAGATGGGAGTGCACCAACGCGCCCCATCACACGGCTACCTCTGAATACCACACAATGTCTGACAATAAAGGGGGCAGAGGAAAAGAAGCAAGGGAGAGGGCAATGTCATGTGTGTTGCACGTGTGCATACACTCATGTCCACGGGGTATTGGTGCCTACATACAAAACAACAGAGAACAAAGGCTCCTTTCAAGTTGGCAAATTGAACACTGGTACTTTCAAGTTGGAAATTCGAACGCAGAAGTGTTTTCAAGTTGGAAAGATCGAAACTGGTTGGGTACTGACAACGAAAGTTGGCTTGTGCCTAGAATGTTGAAGCATTTTTTAGAAAGATCGAAACTGGTTGGGTACTAGCAACGAAAGTTGGCTTTTGCCTAGAATGTTAAAGCATCGTTTACATATATTTTGGTGGAAAATTGAGCATTGAGAATTGACGGAAGTGCCTCTTCGTGCGTGCGTACTCCAGTTTGTCGTCAGCCCCGGTCCGGCTGTTGTTGTCCGTCCTGAATTTTTTCTGTCGATGTATTTTTATTCATTTATTTCTGATTGGGGAAAATAACGTTTTTTCATTGGTTTCAACGCCGTTTGACGGAAGGCCAATGGATATATTTTTTACTATTGTTGTACTATGATGTTTGTTTTCTGCTTCCGGGGAAGACCCACCGTGCATTATTGTAGCTTATTGTGTCGTGTGCTCTATTCTTGTGGGGCGTTTGTATGCAGCGGCGGCGCTTGGAAGACGCTAGCTCTTGCTTGGAACTGGCAAGAAACCCAAGCAAGTCTAGTCGAGATATACATGCAGATCGTTTGGAGTATCCGCGCACGCTCCGTACTGTCGATAAAAAGACAGCATTGATACACTGGCAATTTGCATCTCATCTAGTTGTACTGCAGCCACATGTATGCATACTCGTTTGCGGTCCAGGACATTTAGTGCCGATTTTTAAGGGGGGGTTGCTGAACAGGAGATCTCGTATTCAACGCACTTCCTTCTCCCGGAGAAACGAGAGAGAGCAACGTAGCCTCAGGAGGCGCATTATCTCCGCCGGCAGGCAGGCATGACGTTTCTCTTGCAGAAACACGTGGCATCGACGATATTTCATCATCATGTTCAGCCGCATGCATGCTTGTTGTATCCCCCGTATATTTTAGATACTTCCTTGTGCTTGTCTTCTAGCGTTAGATAGACTGGATGACAAGAAAGAAGGTTGTTGCAATGTCCCGATTTTCTTTCACCGTTCGATTTACTTTATACATTATATATCGTTATATTTTTGTTGTGGCCGTGTCTTGGTTCAGATGTGGTGTGCATCGTGTAGACCGTACTATGATTTTTTTTCGGACTGGAGGTCGGATGAGACCGTGTCTGTCTGTATCTTGAAAGTATACTATGATGATAAGGGTTGGTCGGTCGTAGTAAAATCGAAGGGACGGGGCTAGAAAATCGATTATGATTTAGCTCGTGGCTGTTTTATTTCTAGTTGGTTGTGTACAAGGTTTGATACTCACGGACGCTTGAGCAACTCATTGGGGGGATTATTCAGGTCTGGTGCCTGCCGCCACACACACGTAGCCTTCCTTCCGCTGGACCATTGGGGGGCATTAGTCTGCCGTGAGCATTGGAACTTTGCAAAGAGTAAACATGTACAGACCGGATCTGCCCGCCAAAAGTAAGTAGTACTGGTCTGTCTGGTGGGATAGTCTACATCAGGTAGGCTTCCATTCTCCTCCGTGCTTCTCCCCTTCTTGAGCTATTTAGTTGTGGGCCAATGTGCACACACACGGCATTTTTTCTTGTGCCTGCGGGTGGGTGGAGGAGGTGATATTGTTTGGTATGTAGTCAACACGGTGTCCGTTCATCATTCAGCGGCAACGAATGGATCCCTCTTTTCGTGTGTGTGCCGGTCCGTGCGGCTAACCTATGATCGCGTTTTAGGTCACGGGCGGGTACGTACAGTGTCACAGGAATGAAGCATTATATCCCAGAAAAAAAAAAAAATCTTGATAGAAAGCGGCTCGAACTACTAGTAGTGACAAGTGTCTCTGGTTCTTGTGACCGACCGGACCACCGGGTGTTGGCGCGCGACCAGCGACGAGACATGGATGGATGGATGGATGGATGGCAATGAATGATAGATGGAGGGCGTGAGGTGAAAAGCGAGGCGACAAGCGAGGTGGAAAGCCGCCGCCCAATGATACTCGTCCACCACAGGACAGCATCCAACATCTCATCCCCAGACAGAGAAAAGGTGCCCGCAATTAATTGATTGGCCAGCATCGACCTGCGAGTGCCCCCCCACATTGATGTGGTAGCTTACGCCATGTGGCGTAGCTGTTTTCATTGCACAATAATATTATTTTGTTTTGTTGCATCGTCACCAATCAATCCGTCGCAAAGATGGTGCGGTGAACTTGGTTGTCACCACCTCCTCTTCTTCTACCCATACATACACCCTTCACCTCCCTAAAACTCGAGCCGGAATAATGTAGCCAATACAAAGTTAAAAAACAGTGTGCGCATTCTATCTGATGTCACCCTGCACATGGAAGCACAACTCCCAACTGGACTGGACGTCAAAACAAAAGAGGAGCGTGGTGTACAAAGCACCGAACGAATGCGGTAAATATAAAACAATTGTATACATGTCACAAAACCAACCATACATACGCGACAACTCACGTGGTCCACGAAAAAGAGGAGAATAAATGCTGCACATAATGAATTGATATGCGTACGGCATCACATCTATCTGCTCTCTCCTTGCTCTATACGCATCACAAAGCGCCCACTGTCCGTGGAATCATACACACCTCCTGTCAACAATCAATGACGCCTACCCCGTTGGACGTATAAAACCAACGGCGCGGGAAGGATCTCGGAAATAATACAGAATAACTGATTCCAAGAAACTAGATTAGTCATGACGCACACCGCGCAACAAATACCCGCAGAAGATACCCAATCAACCTTTCTTTGTGGCTACATCGACAGGAGGACAGAACGAAAAACAACAGAAAAAACACGAACGAACAAGTCTCTACGCGTGGTGGCCATTTCCCCCCCCCATCAAATGAATTCATTCGTTCAGTCGATAAAAGCTAGCCAACAATATTCTGCTTACGTCATGGGCATCATCATCGATTGATTGTAGCAAGGCCACAAAATGTAGCAACTCGGGTGATGATGCCATCACTCCAAGAAGAGCAGTTAAAAGATCCGTCCCTGTCACAAACTGTTGCTAAAACTATCGTAGAAGGGTCCCTCCCATTCATTGGCATTCATTGGTAAAGGTCCCCGGCCTCGACGCCGCCCACTACAGTCCTCCACCCCCTGACCCTCCTCCGGGCAGCGATCGCCCCGCCGACCGCCGCAAACGGCGCCGTGATTATCCCCGCCGTCTTCTCTCCCAGGGCAGTGGCACCGCCGCCGGAGCACGTCCCGTTCTTGCTGCCGCTCTCGACCCCGGCAAGAGCCAGTGACGATCGTCCTCCGCTGTCGCCCCCGGGGTTCACTCCCGCCATAACGCCTCCGCCGCTGGCTCCGGGTGAAACCGCCGTCGATTGTGCCGCGGTGTCATCGGAATTCGAGTACAACAGCAGGGGGGACGAGGGCTGCTTGGCCATCGCGCCGCCCCCCCCCTTTCCCACCCGCCATCCGCGGTCCCCCTTGTTCTCCAGGCTGTTGGTGCGGCGGAACCTCCTCGAGAAATGATGAGACGATGACGATGATGACGCATCCCTGCCGCCGTTGGAACTCCCGGGGGGCGTGCACTCGGGGGTCTTGGTAGCGGGGGTTTCGCCGCCGCCGCCGCCGCCGGGGTTAACTCTCTCTGCTCCCGGCACGAGGTTGAGCAGGAACGCTCTCGCTCCTCCTCCGAGCTTCTTCGTGGAAGAAGTAGCCGGCTCCTCTTGCTCCTGCTCCTGGTCCTTCTCCTGCTGCTTCTTCTTCTGCTGCTGCTGGAGCCAGCGCTGGTGGTAGTGTTGAGGGTCATCGAGGACATCCGCCTCGCCCTCGTCACCGGCTCTCTTGGGCTTCGGCGACAAAGACGCCGGGATGGCCTCAACCAGGTTTTTTCTCCTCGAAGTGGCGGCGACTCCGACCCCGGCGCCCCACGGCATCACCGCCGCGGCCGCCTTCTCCTGTAGGGTCATCCTCTTGCTCTCGGCTAGACGACGTTCGTCTGCGGCGGCATCGTCCGTCTTGGAGGGGGCAGCAACCCTCGCGGCGAGCTCGGCGAGCCTCTCCCGCTCCCGCTTCTCCTTCCTGGCCGCTAGGAGCGCCCGCTTCCCTTCCTCGACCAGGGCACCCTTTGCGGAGGGGCTGAGCAACCGCCGAGAGGGCGAGAGGGAGGAAGAGACACCGCCGCTACCGGAGGCGGCGGCGGTTGTAGCGAAAGGAGGAGCACCCCCCGAGCAGGGCGAAGTGATGGTGGTGAAGTGGCCGACTTGGTTGGTGTTGCATGGGGACACGGCCACGATGGTGAGCCCGGTGCTGGTGCTGGTGCTGACGACACCGTCGCCGCGGTCCACCCCACCCGGCACGGCGACTTTCGCCACCGAATCGGGTTCTTCTTTCTCCGCCGCTGCCGCCGCTGCCGCTGCCGCCGCTGCTGCCGATGCCGCCCCGCTGCTTGCCGCCCCGCTGCTGGCGGAAAGCCTGACCGCTCCCGCCCCGCGCTGCTTCTGCTCCATGACCGCCACCGCAGCCTCTAGGCCGGCCGGAGTCGTCGGCAACGTGAAAGTCGGGAGCTCCAGCGCGGGGGCCGCACACGACGACGACGAGTGCAAGGATCGGTGCTTCCTCAGCAGCCCCGAAGGGATGGGAGAAGTAAGGGGCCCAACGTCGACCAAGTCGTGACCGCTGCCGCTGCCGCTGCCGCTGCCGCCGTTGCTGTTGGCCCACGCGCGTCTGCGGACCCCAGCCCCGCCCCCAGGGGTAGTGACAAGCACAACCTCCTCTTCCACCTCCTCGTTGTTGACTTTTCTCTCGTCCGTCGACGCTGGCACAACGGCCTCCTGCTGCTGCTGCTGCTGCTGCTGCTGCTGCTGCTGCTGCTGCTGCTCTCCCTTGTTGTTGTTGCCGCCTTCCTCGTCCGCCGGGAGCTTGGAAGCCTTGTTAGTCTTCGAAGGGCAAGAGGTCTTGGACACCGGTTCCGCAGGCGATACCGGCGCCGCCGCAGGCGCTGCCGGCACGGCCGCCGCCGCCGCGGCCGCCGTCTCCTTCGAGAGCGCGGCCGCCTTCGACACGGCAGAGGCAGCAGCCGTCGCCGCAGCCGCACGCCTGGCCCGCGCGGCCCGCAACCCGACGAGCCCCCCAGCGGCGGCGCCCCCGGCCCTGGCCGCGCGCACCTCAGCCCAGGTCCACGACCGCCTCGACGGACTCGGGAGTTCCGTCGAGATCAACTCCGCGGGAGCGGTGGCGGCTGCGGCGGCGGGAGAAGCGGGGGCAACTGCGGCGGCCACAGCTGCAGGGGTGTCCGACGATGCCGAAGGCGTCGACGTCGCCGACGCCTCCGGCTCCTCCTCTCCGGATGTGGAGGTGGGCGACGGCGGCGGCACAACTGAAGTGGTATCCGGCGCGACCGGCGGTGCCGTCGCCGATGCCGTCGGGGCAACGGCGGCGGCGGCGGTGGGTGCGACCGCGAAGACGCCAGCGGGCAGAGAGAGGACGGTGGGGTACCCGTCCTTGTCCTTAGCATCGGCGGCGCCGAGTAGTCGCATGGTGGCCTCCACGTTAGCCCCGGGCTCTACCCTCATCTCCGCGTACGAGACCTTTCCAGAGCACGTACCGCCGCGCCTGTATTTTTTAACAAAGACGAGACAGACAGACGTCAGGGACAGGACAGGGAGGGGACGAGATCGTGGGTACTATACTGATCTGGGTGTGCTTTCGGTGGGGTACGGGCTGTTGTCGCAAAACGTATGACCTCTGTGTAAAACTCGTGGGTTGAGTCCGTGTTCAAAAACGGCCCGTGGATGAGTAAACGTTTACTCCTACTCCAATGTTCCCCCGCCAAGAGATCAACAGCCGCACACACCCGGACTACAAGACACAACTACTACGACACCCCCCACATTCCAAGCACCAACGACAACCCACACGAAGGCGAGCACAGGTTGCCGGTCGTCGTCGGTGGACGGATTCGTCACACTCCCATCAAGAAAACCCACCTGACAATCAACAGGTCCTTGCACTCGATGTTCCCGTCGAAGCTGCCCTTGACGGTAACGTAGTCGGCGAGCACGTCCCCCTTCACGATGGCTCTGCGATTGGTTCATGCACAGCAGCGCGGGACAGGCGGGTCGATGGGAGGGTAGGGATACCCAAGTCAGACATCAGGAAGGATTCAGTGCATCGTGAAGTTAGCCTTTTCGTGTGCCCCGGAGAGGGAAAGAACGCAACAGGTACGAAGTTTGGCACACGGAAACACACACGGGAGATCAAACACCGAACAAGCGAGCTCACGCAAGCTACAAAATTCCACCATGCCGGCAACGCAGCAGCGAAAGGTGGGGCGAGCGCTCGGCAGCCTCAAGACAACACGGAAAGCACACACACACCACGCCGACACGAGTCTACCTACACACACGTGAAGAACGCATGCGACAGAGAATGGGCGGAAAGAAAAGCTACCTGCGAAAGTCAGCAGTACATCCGAATTATGGATTCCTTCTCTCGCCACCTCTTATCGAAACCAATTCCCACTAAATCAACGGACAACCTCCCCCCGCTGTTGCCTTGAATAAGCCACTCACCCTTTCTCGATGTCCAAGTTCTTCACGTTCATGGCCCCCTCCAGCTGACCCTTCACCAGGACAAGGTCAGCCCCAGCGATGTCGGCCCGCTCCATCACCACGCCCTCGCTGACAAGCATCTTCCGGTCGCTCGACTGCTCTCCCTCCACGACCACACCATCGTCCTCCTCCATCTCACGTCGCTCCGACTTTACGATAGCATCGTCGTCCCCCTTCGGCTCGTCCGCCACGACGCCGACTACCACCACCTCCTCCTCTCCGCCTACCTGTGCCTCCTGTTCCACCACCTCGTCTTGCACACTCTCGTCGCGGGTCGTTGCATCCGCCGGAACCACAACCTCTTGCGGGGCCGTCTCCTCACCGGCGGCGGCGGCGGCGGCCGCGGCGGCGGCGGCGGCTGCAGCAGCTGCAGCGACAGCCGCTTCCTCGGCCTCTCTCTTCTTGTCCTCCGCCTTCTTCGCCGCGATCACGGCGCTGACGGCAGCAGCAGCGGCGGCCGCATCCTTCTTGGCCTTTATGGAGGCGGCAGCTTTGGCCGCCACGGCATTCGCGCGACCGACCCCATCATCACTACGCTCATTTTTCTCCGCCGCGGTGGCCCCATCTACAGCGGGGACAACCTCAGCAGCGGTGATTGGGACGGAAGCGATGGCGGGGGTCGGCTCGGGAGTTGCTGCGGTGCCTTGGGCGGCGTCGGCGCCATCCACAGCAGCACAACCAGCAGTAGCAGCATCAGCAGAAGTGGTAGCAGTAGCAGTAGCAGTAGCAGCACCACCAGCACCAGCACCAGCACCAGCACCAGCACCAGCACCAGCACCAGCAAAAGTGGCAGTGGCAGCAGCAGCAGCAGCAGTGGTTACAGTAGCAGTAGCAGTAGCAGCAGCAGCAGCACCAGTAGCAGCAGCGCCAGCACCATCACCAGCAGCAGCGCCAGCACCAGCAGTGGCGGTAGCAGGACCAGCAGGACCAGCAGCAGCAGCAATGGCAGTAGCAGCAGTGGCAGTAGCAGCAGTGGCACCACCATCAACGGCGGCACCAGCGCCATCACCAGCAGTAGCAGCAGTAGCAGCAGTAGCAGCAGCAGTTGCAGGAGCAGCAGCAGTGGAAGTCCCAGCATCAGCAGCAGCAGTAGCAGCAGTAGCAGTAGCAGCAGTAGCAGCAGCAGCAGCAGCAGCAGCAGTAGCAGCAGCAGCAGTAGCAGCAGCAGTGGTAGCGGTGACCTCATGGCGGTGCCGCGCTCGCCGACGCTCGCGGCCGGGCGTCACGGCGTCGACGATGTTCCTTATCATGCCGCTTCCCTTCCGCCGGATCCCGCTGCCGTTGCCGTTGTTGTTGCTTGGCCTCCCGAAACACCCGGCGTCCACCCCGAGGCCATGCTTGCCGGCAGGAGGCGCACCCGCGCCGCCGTCGTTTCCGTCCCCAAACGCTTGGTCCTCCTCTTCCCCCTCTTCTTCAAAAGAAGAGCACATGATTCGGTTGTGCCGCTTCTTTCCTCCGGTGAACCGCCCGCTCCTACCGGCCCTGCTCCTACCGGCCCTCGCCGGAGTCGTGAACATGGCGGCGGTGTTCTTGTAGTCGGCTGCGTCGCCCCTACCGGCCCTCGCGGGAGTTGTAAACATGGCGGCGCCGTTGTTGTTGTCTTCCGCTGCACCGCTTCGGCTGGCCCGGGCAGGAGTGGCAAACACGGCAACGGCGTCCCTGCTGTCGTCGGCTGCACCGCCCCTACCGGCCCTCGCGGGAGTTGCAAACATGGCGGCGCCGTTCTTCTTGTCGTCGTCGTCGGAGGATGAGGAGGGGCCCCGCGGAGTGGACGGGGGCTCTGGCGCCTGGACGCCGGGGGAGCTTCCCTCGACGATGGACGAGAGGGGGCGCGGGGTCACGACGACGGAGTTTGCCGGCGCCGTGATGCCGGCGGTCGCGGCGGCTACGGCTGCCGCGGAGTCGGTGACCGAGTACTCATCGAGGTCGTTTCCCAATGAGGACTCCAGGANGGGGGGGGGGGAGGTTGCTTGCCGAGGATACAACGCATGTGTGGCGTCAATACCACAGTGAAGTTGCTACTTGATGCGGGTTATCCTCAGTACACGGGCACTAACACAGCACACAGTACACATGATAAGGAAACATGGGGCGCAGGGTGAGAACAACAGAGAATCAATCAAGACATGTTTGAAACGAACGAACACGGTTTCGCCGTCCAGGTGTCCTAGAGGGACAGGGAACAAACAGCAGCCCACAGAGGATTGATCAGATCATACATCGCCCGCTCAACAAAGAGCGATGTAGCCATGAAACCATACCGCACGAAACTAAAATGTAGCGCAAGCAAGCTTTACACGACAAG